AAGAATTCTTATTTTTTGTGTGATTAGAAAATTACAGTCTAATGGCTAAAAATAAAGATACCTACAGTATAAAGCTTATTGAACTGAGCCCTCTCTCTTATTATATCTATGATACATATATTGTTGCTATATTAGATAGGTAGTTGCCATGCACAGATGTCTATGCAAGTCGCACCCCAAATAGGAAAAAGTATTGCAGAAACGACTATTCTAATCTGTGTGACTCCAATGAAGTCAGAGTCACACCGATTAGTACAGTTCCATTGCATATAATTGCATGCAATTTGTCATGGGATTTGAACGGTCAAACTGCAAGACAAGTCGCATCAGTGGGAACCAGGGCTAATAGAAATAATAGTAGTAGTAATAGCCGAAAATGAGCTAGTCTACAATTTAAAAAACACAGTGTACTTACTGTTGATATAATAAAGACTCCGGTCCCTGTTCAAAAAAAAGTTTAATATATAGGATGTCCCTTAAAGCTACTCTGTCGGAAAAAAAAGGAAGAAGAAAAAGAACTCTATGAATGAAGAACCATAATACCTGTTTTACTGCCCATACCAACATTTTAGCTGGCTTGAAAAGGTACAATTGCTGGATCTTCAGTACCTGACACACTCTTATGAGTGTCAAATGTTTGGTCTCCTACTGCGTGCCGGAATCCACCCACTGGTTGCTACTGGGTCACTACAGATAATTATTATATTATTATTATTATGCAGTATTTATATAGCGCCAAAAGGTTGAAACAATACACGAGGGGTTCGAGGGCCCTGCTCTTTAGAGCTTACAATCTAGGAGGGAGGGGATAGTGGTACAGGAGGAAGTAGCTGTGGGGGATGGAGTGGTAGGAGGAGTGGAGGAGATCGGCTGTTAGGTGAGGGTGGGGTAGGCTTCCTTGAAGAGATGGGCTTTCAGGGTGCGCCTGAAGGTGAGGAGGGTAGGTGACAGTCTGATGGATTGGGGTAGAGAGTTCCAGAGGATGGGGGAAGTCCTGGAGAAGTCCTGAAGTCCTGAAGTCGGGGGTTCAGGAGGTCTTGTGAGGAGCGAAGAGTACGGGTTGGGTGGTATTTGGGTATCAGGTCGGTGAGGTAGTTTGGGGCAGCGTTATGAATGGCTTTGTATGTCAATGTTAGTAGTTTGAATTTAATGCGACTGAAGCGGGGATAGTCTGTGTTGGGGTAGGCCGGTGAGAAGGGAGTTGCAGTAGTCTAGGCCTGAGATAAAAAGGGAGTGAACAAGTTGTTTAGTAGTGTCTGGGGTTAGGAACGAACGTAATAAGTATTATTTCTCTTTTTACAGTTTTTCTTTTAATTGTTTTCACAACAAAGTTGCTTTAATAAACACAGAATGCATCCAAGTACCTTAAAGTTACATATCTAAATTATTATATGGAGACCTATGCATAATGCATCCAGAAAATGTTTAAATCAGTATTAAACACAAAAAAAGGAAACATTTAATATATTGCAGCTTACTGAGTCTTAGATGTGGTAGCTGCATTTTTTAGGCTTTCTTTCCCTTATTTTCAGCTGGTGATCTGGCCAGTAAGTCTTTTGTTTTTCAAAAGAACATGCTCTCTTGTAGATGTCACACTCAGAGCATTGAGACAAACCATTTATCACTGACAGGGGTGCTTACAATGACCCGTTTTTATTTATTTATTTATGTAAAACCTTTATCAAAAGGAAAAAGAACTGTTGCTGTAACTACTTACAAAGTATGAGCTGGAGTTTGGCTTCAGTTTGTTAATGTATCTAAATCTTTTTACATCTAACACTTCCCTAACCCAAGATTAACAATTCTGCTTTCCAAAAGTGCCCCCTCTGTTCCTTCATCCAGAACAGGGGCACTCTTAACACAGGTATTATGTCACTGTTCAGATCAGCATGTGAAAACAGAGGGAAAAAAGCCTAAGGGCCCTTTCACACTATCATTTATTGATGAACATTTGGTATTCAACTCCTCCCTAATGACCATTTGCATTTATGCGGCTTCTCGGCAGGTGGGCCTTAATGCAGAGAGGCCGCATATACAGTATGTGTACTTAAAGATAAACAGAACTGTGCCTACAGCGCATCAGTTAATGAAAAGCTCCCAATCTCTACTTGCTATTGGGAGCTTTCCAATCATATGACCACTGTGACAGCCAATCATGGCGGTGACATGGTCAGAAACCCCACACTGCCTCCCAGAATCTGAAACCCCTTTAAGGGCCAGGAGCCGTCAATGCCAAGGGGTTAAAAGCCAGAGCAAAAATGCATGAAAATGCATCCCTTTAAATCTTATCTTATGGAACTCTTCACACTAGTGCTTTGTGGGTCTTGCAGGCTGTATTTTTGGTGCATAAAAGCACCTCCCCATTAGAATAAATGGAACATGCATAAAAAAACATGTCAAAAGTGCCCCGAAGTTGCATTTTTGTTGCACTTTTTGAGTCACCTGTGCATGTTTCAAAGGTGCATAATTGGAGTCAAGCAACCAGGAAAGGCATTAAAATTGCATATGTATTTTTAATGCATTTTTTCAATGGAACAATGTGAAAGGGCCCTAAAGAAGGAAAACAAATGCAGCCACTACATCTAATGATTGGTAAGCTGCAATATATTATTTTTGTTGTTTTGGGTTTAATATCACTTTTATATATAGCCTGAAAATCTGTATACTGTACAGTAAAAATAGCCTAGCTCTTTAGGACCAGTCTACAATATGACTAAAGTTCTGGCTCAAGGTGAAATACATTTGAATCTGTATCTATTACCATGTATGAAAACAGTTACTTATGGTATATCAGTCAAAGGTTTAACATTTTGAAGATATACTCTTTGGCTTGGTTTTGGTAAAAATAATAAAATAAAGTATAATTTGCCTGCTATCATTTGTACATGCACAAAGGGCTGACTTCTAAGCTTGGGATGCCAACAAGCTAATGGTTGCCCAGATAGCAGTAAAAAACACAACAGAGGATCTATCCAAAGGTTAAAAAACAATTGGGTTGGATATGCACTTTAAATTTACAACAGATACATGAAAATCTCAGCTATTTTCTACAGTTGCAGAATTTTGGCAGCTTGGCGGTCTTCTACTTTAAATACATTTAAACCAGACTTTGAAGTTCTTGTTGTGATCTTTGTGGAAATGTAATAATTAATTACTACATGCAGCAACTCTTTGACTGAATGTAAGTACCTTTCTGTCCGTAGTTTGGGCACAGTCATAATATGTGGTCATCTGCATTACCCCATTGTTCTTATCGGAATTCTTTGGCTGAGGTGGATTATTTGATGACAGCAATGTCTTTTATAACTTAAAGGGCGTTGATGATGGATTCAAATTCTTCGAATTCTTCATATATCTGTACTTTTTTTTGTCAATGGGGTTAATTCTACAATATGGCTGTAGATTATTTTTCCTTTTTTTTTGTTGGACAATCTGGTTATACATGGTATCCTGATTAGGGATGAGCTGAAGCTTCAGTCTGAACATAGGTTTTGACCAAACGTTCACTGTACAGTCCCCTGTGGCAGTAGCTGAAAATCAAATATAGGTCCGGTATTTCTACAGCTTCCATATATGACAGCTTATCATTGTGACCAATTCCTAAGGAAGCTGTGGATAGTTGCATCTCTTGCGTTTCTAAGAACCACTGATGTCATTGTGAATCCGTTCCCCTTTTAAGCAAAGGGGATGGGAGTGGCATACTTAACCAAATATGGCCACTGACAATAGCATGTCATCAAATAATAAACCTCAGCCAAGAATTCCCATAAGAACAATGGGGGAATGCAGATGATCACAAATTAGCACTTAAAGTGTACCTGTGCCTAAACTTTGGACAAAAAAAGTATTTACTTTACCAGTATCCCCACCTGCTCCCTTATCTAGCTGATGACAGTCATTTGTGACAGGTTTTCAGTTGTTTTTTTGGCAAGCCAGTGAGTGGTGGGCATTGTTATTGACTATGGATTTACAAAGATGGACTTTTTGTTTTTTTGTTCTTTTAATAAAGGACTTGTCAAACATTTTGAGGTCTTTAATTCTAGGGTAAAACTTTTTTGTAAATCAGTAGGGAAACTAGATACCCCATACTCATTCATTTAGAGAGAGGTGGGCATCTAGGGACTCCATTATTATTAAAGGGAGCTTTAAGATTCAGATGAACCCCCTGCCAGCAGACAGCCTCATCCACTGGCCAGGATTGTGGGGACAAGATTCTTGCTCTCATCAACATGGGGACAAGGTGCATTGCCAGGGGTTATTACCCATGGAAAGGCACCCACACAAATTGAAGGTATGGGGCCTAGTATGTTTTGGGGGTGCAGACATTTGTCTCCCCCTTTCCTACCCAGTCAGGCTGCATGCTCATATTAAGGGTCTGGCATGGAATTCCTTTCCATTCATTGCCAACTTCTTAAAAAAAAAAAACAGGTAAAAAAGCCTCAAAAGATCCCCCAAAATACATACATTGGAGGGGTCTGTGTGCTATGTTTTCTAAAAACAAAGAAGCTGTCAATGACTTGTCATTTGTCAGCAATTTTAAAATTCTTTCTTTTTTAAATGTCAGTGCTGCTGACTATTAGCCCAGAAAAGGGGCATTTTAGATTCAACAGATTCCCCAATAATTTCAGTGAGATTAGGGTTCTGCATCCGAACGTCTCTGAAGCAAGCCAAACCCTTCTTAAACAAAACCAGGGTAGTTCAGCTTATCCCTAATCCTGCTAAAGCAGGCTGTATGAGTTAACCACTTGCCTACAGGGCACTTATACCCCCTTCCTGCCCAGGACAATTTTCAGCTTTTTCAGCTTCAGCGCTGTCACACTTTCAATGACAATTGCGCGGTCATGCAACACTGTACCCATATGAGATTTTTATCATTTTTTTGAGACAGATAGAGTTTTCTTTTGGTGGTATTTAATCACCTCTGGGTTTTTTATTTTTTGCTAAACAAACCAAAAACCACTGAAAATTTTGAAAAAAAAAACTTTTTTTTTTAGTTTTTGTTATAAAATTTTGTAAATAAGTGATTTTTCTCCTTCACTAATGTGCGCTAATGAGGTTGCAGTGATGGGCACTGATAGGCTGCATTGATGGACACTGATAGGTGGCACTGCTGGGCACTGATAAGGAGGCACTGGTAGGTGGCACTGATGGGCATTGACAGGCATCACTGATGGGCACTGAAAGACAGCACTCATATATGGCACTGATTGGCGGCACTGATAGGCAGCACTGATAGGCGGCACTGACTGGCACTGTTAGGCGGCACTGTTAGGCGGCACTGATGGGCACTGATAGGTGGTTCTGACTGGCACTGATAGGCTGCACTGACTGGCACTGGTAAGCGGCACTGACTGGCATTGATAGGTGACACTGACTGGCACTGATAGGTGACACTAAAAGGACGCTCAGATGGGCACTGATATGTGGCATTGATGTGCACTAGTAGGCACTGATATTTGGCATTGATGTGGCATTGATGAGCACTGACAGCTGGCACTGATGGACACTGACAGGTGACACTGCTGGGGCTACACTGATCATCAGGGCATGACAGCTCGTGAGGAGAGAAATGCCGATAAACAACATTTCCCTATTTATATGCGATCAGCTGTGATTGGACACAGCTGATCACATGACCGAGCCGACATCTTCGGCTCTTTCCGTTGATCGGTAATCCTCTGTGTCCGAGGGGCATAGCGTACCGCCGATCGCCGTGCTGCGCGCTCCCGGACCCGCGCATGCTTGGTTAGAATGGAAGGACGTCATATGACGTCCTCCCAGAACGAGAGAGCTGCCTTGCGCCCGTCATTACCTTATATGACGGGCGGGATGTGGTTAAAGCAGAGTTCCAGTTACTTTAAAAAAAATTAATTCAGCAGCTACAAAAACTGTAGCTGCTGACTTTTAATATACAGACAATTACCTGTCCCACAATCCAGCAGTGTCTTCACCATGGCTGGTTTCACCAGCCATCTTCTCTCCCCAGCGCTGGCATCTTCAGTGCAGGCACCCTATGGCAGCTTGCGACTTCACAGTCGGGTGCCCACTGTGCATGCATGAGAAGCTTTGCACTTTGTGAATGGTCCCGTAGTCTTCTGGGACCTGTCACGTGTCCCAGAAGACTACGGGGAGGGAGGACAACCTCTGCTTTTCATCGCCTTAGGAGACAGCAGTGGAAGTGGGAGCGGGTACCTATTAAATTTGGGTACTTGCTCCCCCCATGCTCCCCAAAGGTGCCAATCCTTAATGGGGAGTGGGGGACAAAGACTTAAAGTGGAACTTCCTCTTTTGGGTGGGGCTCCGCTTTTTAAGTTTATCTTGGATTCCATATATAGAGCTGGCCCTGTGGGCAGTAAGGAAAGCACATTTTACTGGTAAACAATCCCTGGTCTTTGGCATCTATTTACCTCCTATTTCAGTATCTAGGTATATCTATAAATGACTATAAGAGAGTCTATTGTGATTAATTTTCTGGTATAGGACATTTTATAGCAAGCATGTGTCTTCTTCTACAACAATTGACAGCCGCATTGTACTCTTTTATAATTGTACCAGTCTGACTACATTTATAAGTGCTTTGCAAGTTTCTAGTGCTATGTAAAGCTAATAACCTTCCTTACAGTTTGCTTCATTAACTTAGAGAATTACATTTTTTGCACTGGCTTGAGTTCAAAATATTGTTAAACATTTCCTTCCTTACTTAAGGTTGTGATGAAAAATTGCAATGACTTAGTATAAAACAGCCAAGCTAATATAGCTGAAATTATCTCAACTCATACGCTTCAGTGTACCATTAACTAGGGAAAACTAAATATATGTTTTAAGGAAATTAGACTAACTCCAAAACAGGAAACTCCAAATGAAAATTACTCATGAATCGTTCGAAGCCAGGAATACTATAGTTTAATTTGAAGGATGTTAAAACTGCACTAATACACAGTCTATAAATTTCCATCTACCACAGAACATCAATTTTTATTATTATCTGTTTGATTAGTGCAAAAAAAACCTGTAGATTACATAAAACATTCAGAGCTGTCCTGCGTGCATGTCCTGTATCATTTCAAACAGTCCACTTATCTCTTTTATTGGACTACAGATTACCCTTTATGGTGTAAAAATCCAAGAGCGGGAGTGATGGAGTAGTTTAGAAAAGGGCAACTCAGGTGAAGGAGTAGTTGACAACACACAGTCCACAAAATTCTGTGTGTTGTGAGCCCACAATTAGAATTAGGGTCTGAGTGCATTTCTGGCAAATGAAAAGGTATTCATCTGTGCCTGCAGAGTTTGTACAGGAATAAAACATGAGGAAATGTGCATGGTTTACAAAGATTTTTTTAGTTTGCCTTGGGATATGCTTTAACTGGGATATCTACCCTATAATGCCACCTTGGCAAACGTAAATGCAGTTGCAATATAGGGGACCACAAAAAATGTTTCCTTTTTTGTTTATTGTTTTACAGCAGTCCAAAAGTTAGGCTGTGTCTCAGTTAAACAACATAATGGAACAGAACGTGGTATCTAGAAAGAGCTTTTTTTTAAATTATTCTTTATTTATTGGTCAGTACAATACAGAACAGGATATGTTCACATTAGCACTGCAAATATTATCCAAAGTAATAGTTACATGACACAGATATATATGCTATACATAACACAATCAGCAGTACACAGATATAAGGAATGCATGGGTCATAACAAAAAGCACAAACAGCATAATATGTCAGCAAATTAGTGACCGTTTTCAATGATATTGAATTCCAAGGTGTTGTATATAATATTTAATAAAAAAAGAGACTCTCTGCAGTAGTTCATATTTGCTCTAAAAGTAATAGTCAAGAAGATAAGAACTAGAAGAATGGAGGGGAAGGGGCAAAGGGGGGAGAAGTATAAGGTGGGCAGAAGGGAAGGGGGGAGGGATAGAAAGAGGAAGGGATAAGAAGGGGACTGGGTTAAATAATCTCCCTCTTGGATTAATCTATTCATAAAACATTGTAATCAGACAAGTGCTTAGACGATCGACTAGGACTGAGAGGCAAGCGGAGCCTGGTCTCTATAAAAAAAAAGTAAGTTGTCCAGATCTTCCAATTCTTGTCCTCCTGTTCCTTCAGGATCAGTGAGGTTTTCCATTTCCTGGACTTCTGCAATCCTTGCCCACCAATGAGCCGTGTTGGGGGGCTTGTATGTTTCCATAATGCTGGAATACAGGCCTAAGCCGCTATAAGCAAATGTTTGAGTAAGGAATTTTTTAAATTCTTGTTGGATAATGGAGTGCCATTCAAAATGTATACAGCTGGATTCTTGTTGAGGGATACTCCCGTTAGTTGTTATCTCAGCTTCATCCCAAAAGTTGTTTAATTTTGGGTATACCCAGAAGATGTGAAGAAGGATTCCCTCAGACTCCCAACAGCACCAGCAGGTATTAGGAACCTGGGGAAAATAAGTGGTGTAGTTTTGTTGATGTTCTGTACCACTCTGTGAGCAGCTTGTAGCGTTCTGATATCTATTTGCTAGGGAGGCCTTATGACAAAGGTAGGCAGAGGTTTTTTTTCATAAAACTAGAAATATAACTTCTGGACTCCACAGAAATGTATGCATGACCTTCAGCAGTGATAACACTGAGTGAGACAAAAAAATCTGGTGCTTTTTTTTTCTCATTTAAGATGTCACTACTATGGTTTTCGTTAGGCAGGCCAAACATTATATTTTTTATTATTTCATTCAACCACAGTGTTGAATGAAAAAGAATGTGGCAACTACTTCATTCACACATTCGAGGTTTATGGGGGAATCACTCTCACTGTGCTATTGCCTTCCCGCGGCTGTAAGCCTTTCCTGCAGTCAGAACACAGTAATTAGTGTTGCTGGTTATAGGCGGTGGCAGTGATCATTTGGAAAAAATCTGACAGGGTGGTTGTACAGAAGTCGCTTGATCAATTGACTCCTGGAGCATGGATGGAAATTTGTCCGGTCCTGGCTGAACTGGCTGAACTTTGATCCATGTTGCTTGCCATGTAGACTTGAGAATATTAAAATTCCAACAGAAAATAATAAGGCTATACTGTACAAGCTTTATTGAAGAAAAGATTATTAACAGTACATTCATCCAAAGTACAATTTACTGTATATACATGTATTTACAAATTCAGACAGTTGAAGGCAGCAGATCTCTACACAATATTATACAAGGGTTAGTAGAGGCCAGGGGCGGACTGACCAGTTGGAAACTCTGGCACTGCCCGAGGGCCCGGGGTCAGTAGGGGGCCCCATGAGATGCCCCTGCTACCTTTTTCATAGGCTTTTTTGAGTTTGGGCAAGGACACAGGGGCCCCATGAGCCTTTTGCCCGGGGGCCCCATGAGTTGTCAGTCCGCCCCTGGTAAAGGCCTAGACAGAGCCAGCTAAGAATGGCAATTTGTGAGATTCAGGATCCTATCTCTTAGATTGTTATAATAGTGCAGCATTACTTTTAGGAGATTGCTATGTGCGTTCCAATTTAGCTGTATTTTCTTCCTTTCAGAGAAGAACCGTTAGCTCAGTGTCAGACTGAAGGGCCCTTCAGGTAGCCTTGTTTCATAACTGAGCTCAGCTGATCACTGACACTCTGTCAAGGCTGTTGGAGTAGGGTACTTGGTAAATAAACATAGTTTTTAATCTTATTTCATTTAATAAATTAATCAGAACAAATAGAACATGTGTTATTTGAAAGTTTCTCAGCCCTCCATCAGCATGACACCTGTGCCCTGATAGGAAGAGAGTGCAAGTAAACAATAAGAAATCCAGCCCTCCCTGAGACATAGGCCTACCCTATTATAACAATTGGAGGGGTACGGATTCAGATTATCACAGAAGCACAGTATCTGGTTGATACAAATATACTCTCATATGTAGAGTATTTTGCTGCTCAGGCCACAGAGCATACCTTATTAGCACAGGTCATCATATTACACTGGCAGAAACACCCTGTTGCATGATTTATCACCTATTAAATTTCATATTTACACATTCTACCTTATAGCAATTCAAATGAAGCTTTTGACTGCTATTATAATATCGGCAATATGGGTTAAAATGTGTTTTTCAGCCAAACATTTGATTAACTTGTGATAAATGATATTCTGTGTTAACTTTAGCCAGACAACATGCTGAGATTTCATCCATAGTTATTTCACTGTGGGGGAAAGAAAACTTGCTTTCTGTTCCGACAAATCACTTACAAGAAATTTTGAGAATTTTCTAGGGTGTTAGATGACTAAATGGAACCATCATCACTTACTGTATGAAGAAAGTGAAGAAGAAAATCAGCTTTGCAGGAACTAAGCGAAAGAGCAAAGCATATACCCACTGAGAAAACTGAT